CTGTGAGACCCCTCTCTTACACAACCCCACCTGCCTGCCAGGGGATCCATCTGTTCCCTTGTGAAATACTAATATATATATACTGGTCTCTACTCCTGATTCCTGACACAGAGCTCCTAAAACCCTTGTAGATAATGGTGCTAGGAAAATCTTTTGTTCTAATACTTAGTCTTTGACCCTGGTTCCTGATGCAGAGCTCCTAAATCCCTTGGAATTTCCAGGAGTGTCTTTTGTTCTCATGAGGCAACTCTTGGTGGGCTCCTGGATGGTTACCAGAAAGATCAAGCCATGATTATAAGCTTGGAACTTTCAGCACCACCCTCCATTCTCTGGAGAGGGGACAGAGGCTAGAGGGAGTTATTAACTGGTCATGCCTAGGTGATGAAGCCTCCATAAAAATTCCAAAAGTACAGAGTTCAGAGAGCTTCTGGGTTGGTGAAAACATCTATGTGCTGGGAGGGTGGCCCACCCCAGCTCCAAAGGGACAGAAGCGCCTGTGCTCGGGGACCCTTCCAGACTTCACCCTATGTACCTCTTTATCTGGTGTTCATTTCCAACCTTTAATATCCTTGGTAATATACCAGTAACCTAATAAGTAAACTGTTTTCCTGAATTCTATGAGCTGCTCTAGCAAAATAACTGAACGAGGAGGACACGGGAAGCTCAGTTGGTCAGAAGCACATGTGACAACCTGGACTTCTGACTGGCATCTGAAGTTGGGGGTTGGGGCAGGCTTGTGGAACTGAGCCTTTAACCTGTGGGATTGGATGCTAACTCCAGGCAGACAGTGTCAGAACTGAGTTGAATTGTAGGACACCCAACTGGTGTCCCAGAATTGCTTGATGCACAGAAAAACCACACATCTGGCGCCAGAAGTGCTGTGAGTGTAGCAGCAGTGTGAGAGTAAAGGAAAACAGCGAGTTTTTCCTAGACACCCTTCCTCTCCTAACAATGATAACGTGCCCACCAGGACTACCAGCAGTGGGCTGCCACCTCTCTCCTGAGGCCACTGCCTAACTGCCCACTCATCCCTTGTTTCTGTGTGCCCCTCTGGCCTGTCTCAATCCCAATGGTCTCTTGGGCCTAGCCTGGCTAGATCTTATCTGTCCTGATCTGGCCTTCCACCTATTCTCGACACAAAGCCAGAAAGTCAGTGCTAATGGGAACAAGGTTTCTTGTTGGGGTGATGAAAATATTCTGAAGTTGCTTTTTGTGATGGTTGCAAACTGCAAAAATTCATTAAATTGTATACTTAAAAAAAAAAAAACTAAGTCAGATCATCCTTCCTCTGCTCAAAACCCTCTAATATGGCTTTCTGGGATCTGACCTCACTTCCTCTCCCTGCCTTGCCCACCCCGTTCCACCCACTGCACTGGCCTCCTTCATGCTGCTTAACAAGCTCTGGTCCCAGGGCCTCTGAACCTGCTGCCCCTCACCCACGAGGCTCTTCTCCCAACAGCTGCGTGGCTTGTTCCTCATTCCCTTCAGATTTCTTCTCCAATGGCACCATCATAGAGGGCCTCCTTGTGACCTTAAGTAAAACAGCGTTCCACTTGACACACAACACCTGCCACTTACTATCCCCCTACCCTGTCTTACACTCACCACCATCTGTTCCTTTCCATACTTTAAAAAAAAAAAATTTATTGGAGTATAGTTGCTTCACAATGTTATGTTAGTCTTTTCCATACTTTTAAATTTTGTTTTCTCTCTCCCCTTTAGAATGAAAGTTCTTTTGTTTACTAACACACCTTTACTTGGTGCCTAGAAAACAACAGACACATGATAGACACTGAGTAAATACTTGTTGACTGAATGAGTAAATGACTGATCCAAGTGTGACCTATTCTTGATTCCAGCAACGGCACAACCAAAACATTAGTGGGTTTTAGTTTATCAGAAGATACACTTTGACACTGAAGGTATAATGAAATTCATACCTTCAGAAAGTAAATGTTATTCCTGATACAGGAAAAAAAAATTCTGCCTTTCATAGCACTCAGATTTGTTAAAAATGACAACAACAACAAAAGAAATCTGAACAACTTGCAATAAGGAGGGTTAGGCAGAAACCTAAATAGCTAAATTGCAAATGCAGGTTTAAAAAAAAATCAATTCAAAGCTTCCTGACAGGGATAAACCACAGACTATTTCAGAGCAATGATTCTGCCATATCGAGTTGGCATAAAATGCAAGGAACCTTTTCTGTGGGGCCAAAATAGAAACAATTCCAGAATCAGGACAGTGAACGACATTCACTGTCAGCAGGCTTTGGTGCCTCCAAAGGGATTACAGTTCATGTACTTACTGTCCATTCCAGCTAAAGAAGAGATATAGCAGGGAGGTTGTGTGTTTACCCACTGTGTTTACCCATCCCATTCTGATCAGCCTGCTGCGGTCAAGGGCTTTATCTCATGCATGTTTATACCCCAGCCCAGAGCCTGCACTTGACCAACGTATACCTGCTAAATAAATGATCCCCGGTGATCACCACCCCCAAGTTATATATTCAAAGAAGTTCCCATAAACTCAAATACATACTGCAGTTGAATATTTCAGAACAATTGCTGAAAGCAAAACAATTCACTTAGCTACAGATTCTCTACTATGACATGTTAAAACTATTGTTCCAAATCCACTTATCTCAATCTTTTCTTAGAGAAGGAAAAGGCAACTAAAAGCAAAACATATTGAACAGAATATTCAGTTTCAAAGTATCACCTCACATGATTTATTACAAAAGGATTAAGGTACCCTTACAGTGAACAGATCTGATAAACACCATCTTCACCAAATGATTAAACCTAGTGTTATCAATAAAGGTACAAACTGACACTAAATGTCTCCTGATGAGGTGCCCTGGGAGTGGGCACCATCACCTGTGTAGGCAGCGTTCTGAACAAAAATATTTGATCTGAATCTAATCATGAAGAAAAAATGAGATAATTTAGATTATGGAACATTCTATGAAACAATTAGCCTGGACTTTAAAAAAAATGTCTGTCTCAAGAAACTGAAACAAGGATGGAGGAACTGTTCTAGATTCAACAAGATTAAAGAGACATGACAACTTAATGCAATGTGGGACCCTTGATTAGATCCTGAAATTTTTAAAAAAACAAAGGAGGGACTTCTCTGGTGGTCCAGTGGGTAAGACTCCATGCTCTTAATGCAGAGGGCCCAGGTTTGATCCCTGGTCAGGGAACTAGATCCCACATGCATGCCGCAACTAAGAGTTTGTATGCCGCAACTAAGAAGTCCCACATACCGCAATGAAGATCCGGCACAACGAAAATTTAAAAACAAATAAATAAATAAAGGAAAAAAGCTAAAAATGGCATTATTTGAACAACTGGGAAAATTGGGAAAATCTAAATAAGGCCAATACATTAAATAATATTCTATCAATGTTAAATTTCTTGGGTGTGATGTGTTTTTTTTTGTTGTGGCAGAAAATGTCTTCATTTTAAATGACACGTGCTGAAATATTAGGCGTCAAGCATCGTCACTTCTGTAACTTCCTTTCAAAAGGCTCGCAGAAAGTAAAAATGTTATGTGTATGCATATATATATTTAGAGAGGAAGCGAAAGAATCAAAATGTTAATAATGAATCTAAGTAAAGGGCATATAGATATTGGTTATACTATCATTTCAATTTTTCAGTAGGTTTGAAAATTTTCCTAATAAAGAATTGTGGGAAAAGTAAGGAAACAATGAAAACAGACTGATCCAGTTCAGTACTGCCTCCAGACTGCATGAACATTTCATTTTTTGGACAGTCTCCAGAATGCCATATATTTCTGTTGTCACTGTCAAATGTGATCTTAGTAACTTTTGATACCTTTTGCCAGATTATCGTTTTAGGCATGATTTCAAGCTAACATCTGCATCTGCCCCAACACGGTTATCTTATTAACTATTTCACAGACCTGTCCGGGAAAATACTAGGGAGGTAATACATATCAAGTCCCTGGTGTCTGCTGAATGGCGCCTGGCAGTCGCTGCCCAGTGAAAGAGAAATCACAGGTGCCTTGTTTACAACTGCAGTCAGTAATCCAACCCTCCTTCTTTTGCAGGTCTCAGGCCGGTTCTCTCATTGTTTACTGAGTCAAAGTATCTGCCAGCTTTGCGGGAGAGCCCAACCTCACCCTTCAATCACCCCTATCTCAGCCTTCTTGCCTTTAAAGGGCCAACACACAACCGTGCTCTCCCGTCAAAGGCTTTATTTTCGGCCTTCCCAAGTACTTTCTCCTCCTCTCAGTTTTCTGAGCACGACAGCTTTCTATCTCGATTTCTAATTTTTAAAAACTCTGCTCTCAGGCCCAGCAGAATCGCCAGTGTGGGTAAGAGTCAGAAAGAAGCTGCATCAAAGACCTCGAACGCATGAGCGGGAGGCTCGGCAACAGGTCTCAGAAAATGATTCCTAGAAAGAGACGCTGGTGGAGGGGGTGGATTTGAACTTGGGCGGTAGCGATCGGCAGACCACCTCCCCGCGTAAAGGGGTTGGGCTACGCTAGAAACAAAGGGTGTGTGAGTTCTGACTGACGGCCCTCAGCCCGGCCGGGACCCTGCGCTGTCCGAGCTGGGAAAGCCGAGAGGCCCGCGCGGACGAAAAGGGCTGGGCGGGGATGACCGCCTCCAGTGCCCCAAACAAGGGACGGCCGCCTACAGGGCTCTGCCGAGTTCATGTCTGAACCTGGGGCGTCTGGAAACTCCTAAGAGCAAGATCAGTTCGGGCGGTTACTGAGCTCCCTTCACTGACGGGTCCCCAGCGCGGGCTCGGGGTGGCCTGGCCCGAGGAGCCGGCAAGGAAGCGACGGGGGGAGGGGTTAAGGCCCCCAGCTCTCGGCCATGGGAGAGGGAACCTTCTTCTAAGAGGAAAACCCCCAGCGGGCGGGACGGCGGGGTGCCAGTCGGCTCGCTACGGAAGGGGCGCCGCCGCGCAGCCGGGGGGCCGCGGCGTGGCACGCAGTGCGCAGGCGCGGGGCGGGGCCGGTACCTGGGAAGGAGCAGAGAGAAGTGGAGTTAGGGCACAAGGTCCCGTTGCCCACGCGCGGCACGAGCTTCAGGCTGAGGATCTGCTGCAGGAGCCCAGCCGACCCCCCGCTGTCGCCGCTCCCCTCGTGCTCCATCCCGCCGCCATTCACCGCAGAGAGGTGGGGGAGAGCGCCTGAAGTGCTGCCGTGGCTCACTCTCACTCACGGCCCACTCTGCTCTCCGCACCTCCGTCGCCTCAGCGTCACCTTCGGCCGAAGCCCTCTTCCTCCACCCCAACGGCACTGCCAAGTGATGGCTCCTCCCTCCAATCATAGGGCGCCTCAGATGGCAGGGGCGGGGCGAGAGTTGTTCCCGCCCCTGACGTTGCGTACGGCTTTCCGAGATCCAGCGCCTATGGCCTACGCCCCCTACTGGGGAAGTCTCTCCTGCTACAGTGCGGCGCGCTCTGCTCTGCCCTCCTCTGCAGCGCCACCTATAGGAAAGTAAAGGAAATTAGGTATAGATAGGGAGGAAGAGATAGACGGGTGGGTGAGTGGGTGGGTGGGTAAATAGGTAGACAGCGGTAGGTATGCAAGTAGACAGGTAGGTAGGTAGGTAGTAGGTAGGAAGATAAATACGTACATACATATGCATCTGGTAATGAGAATCAGATGGTTCAGCAGTCAGGTGAAAGAAGCTGGAAGACAATGCAGCAATACCTTCAATATTTGGAAGGAAATGATTTTGGGGGAAAACTTCACTTTAAATTTAAAAACATTGTATACGACGTAAGGAATATGGTCAATAATATTGTAATAACTGGGGACAGATGGTTACTAGACTTACAGTGGTGATCATTTTGTAACGTAAGCAAATGTCAAATAACTATGTAGTACACCTGAAACTGACATAATATTGTAGGTCAACTATGTTTCAATTAAAAATAATTAATTAAAAAGCATCGTGGGGGCTTCCCTGGTGGCGCAGTGGTTGCGAGTCCGCCTGACGATGCAGGGGACGCGGGTTCGTGCCCCGGTCCGGGAAGATCCCACATGCCGCGGAGCGGCTGGGCCCGTGAGCCATGGCCACTGAGCCTGCGTGTCCGGAGCCTGTGCTCCGCAACGGGAGACGCCACAACAGTGAGAGGCCCGCGTACCGCAAAAAAAAAAAAGCATCCTGGGACTTCCCTGGTGGTACAGTGGTTAAGAATCTGCCTGCCAGTGCAGGGGACACAGGTTCGTGCCCTGGTCCGGGAAGATCCCACATGCCGCAGAGCAACTAAGCCTGTGTGCCACAACTACTGAGCCTGCACTCTAGAGCCCGCAAGCCACAACTACTAAGCCCGCGTGTCAACTACTGAAGCCCTCACACCTATAGCCCGTGCTCTGCAACAAGAGAAACCACCTTAATGAGAAGTCCATGCACCGCAGGAGTAGCCCCCGCTCGCTGCAACTAGAGAAAGCCCCCCACGCAGCAACGAAGACCCAATACGGCCAAAAATAAATAAATAAATAAATTTATTTTTTTTAAAAAAAGCATCGTGCACAAAATATGTAATATTTCCTTTTAATTCAAGAACATTAACAACATTGTTTATTAGAGTTCCCTTTTGAAAGCCTTTGTTTTGGAAGCTTTCTAATGCCAGTTCTCTAACCCTACAATTGGGATTTTGCATCAACCAAGAAACTTTTCTAAAACAAAAATAGTAAGTATTTCAAAAAGTCATGAAATATTTAACAATGCTGTCTTTTGGTACATTTCCCAGACTAGCAGAGTGTATAAGAAGTGGAAAAACCAATTATTTTAAGCTTATATAACCATCAATAATGTATCACATTAGGAAACATTATTTTTAATTTAGAATTCTATCCTCAGTCCGATTGTGAATTGAGAAATTTCTGAAAAGCCATTTAGACTTGCAGGACTCAGAGAATGTATGTTTCATGTGCCCCCTTTTTTTTTTTAAATATATATTTATTTATTTATTCAGTTGTGCTGAATCTTAGTTGCAGCATGTGGGCTCCTTAGTTGCAGCTTGCTGGCTCCTTAGTTGCGGCATGTGAACTCTTAGTTGCGGTGTGCATGTGGGATCTAGTTCTCTGACCAGGGATCAAACCCGGGCCTCCTGCATTGGGAACGTGGAGTCTTATCCACTGCGCCACCAGGGAAGTCCCACATGTGCCCTTTCTAAGGAAGCTGAGTATGTACTCCAGCGAAGTAAAAGAGTGATGACTAAGAAAGAAAAAGATGGGCAGTATAAGGAATGGTGGATTTAACCAGGAATGTTAGATTGATTTCTGTGCAAGTCTTAGCAGCCACCTAACCAGATTAGAACAGAAGAAAGAGTATCCTCAGGAAAAATAATGGAACTGATTTCAGCTATAGACAAAATCATTAATATCAAAATTTTAGGGACACGGTGAAGAAGGTACCTGTTTCTTCTCTCAATGGGAAAACACTGAAAAACAATACAAACTCCAGGAAAGACACAAACCTGCAAGAAAATTATGAAGCAAATATAAAGCAAACAAAAACTAGGTGTTTTTGTTTGTTTTTTAGACATCCACACCCTCCTTGTTTCACTTATAGTGAGATGCAGAACTATAAAACTTTTAGACGGCAATGTTGAATATCCTTATGTCTCATGATGGTGAAAGAGTTCTTAAACTAGATACAAAAAGCAAAGACCATAAAGGAAAGGATGGATAAATTTAATTACTTTAAATTAAGACCTTGTATTATTCAAGAGTTACCACAAAGAAAGTATAAAGACAAGCCACAAACTGGAAGAAGATATTTGCAATACGTATAACTGACATAGGAATAACATTTAGCACTCCTAAAAATCAATAAGCAAATGATGAAGAGACAAAAGACCTGAAGAGGTACTTCATCAAAGAGAAATACAAATGGCCAAAAAAACCCAGGAAAACATGCTTAACCTCATTAATCAGTGAAACACAAAATGAATCACAATGAGGTATCATTTGTCAACCACACAACAGCCAAATATTTAAAAGTCTGAGAATCCGATTGTTACTGAGGTTGCACGGCAGCTGGAACTCTGGAGGTGTAAACAGATATAACCATCTGGAATAATGTTGAATGAAGATGTTCATGATCTGGCAATTTCACTCCCAGGTAAATATCCTATAGCATTCATACGAGGAGATACAGACAAGATTGTTCCTAGTAGCACTGTAACAGTACGTAACTAAAAACAAGCCAAGCATTCATTGAGATGGATAAATAAAATTGTATTATTTTCAATAAAATACTATCGAGTAGTGGAAAGAAATGACGTAAAGCTGCAAGCAACAACATGATGAATCCCAGGAATGTAAACTTGAGGGGAAAATCTAAGTTGCAGAAAAAAGAAGCCCACACTGTGATTCAATTTAAATCCAGTTCAAAAACTTGCAAAACTAACAATATACTAATTCAGGATATTAACAAAGGCAGTAAAATGATAATGAAATATTTTGGGTACTTGTTCTATTTTTTTAAATATCTATGACATCATAAATATTATATATTATGTCACATATATATAACATTATATTTATTTATTCAACTAAGGAGGGCCATAGAACAAAAGTGGCTTTGGACACCCTTCATCTCACTCCAAATAAAGGCCAAAGTCCTCACAAGGCCTGCAAGGTCGTACATAATCTGACCCCCTCTCTCCCCATCTCCTAGAATTCTTCCTCTGGCCTACCACACCAGACTCAGTAGCCCCTTGCTGTTCTTCCAATATTCCAGATGTGTTCCCTCCTTAGGATTTTTGTATTACCTATTTCTTTCTACAGTACAATTTACCCATAGTTATCCCTAAATTAACTGCTTTACCTCCTTCAAGACTTTGCTCAAATGTCACTTTCACAATGAGACCTACACTGATCACGCCATTAAAAATTGCAACTCACACCCCTGCACGCAGACATTCCTAATCCCCATGATCCTTCCCTTTAAAACTGGTTGGGGCTTTCCTGGTGGCGCAGTGGTTGAGAGTCTGCCTGCCGATGCAGGGGACACAGGTTCGTGGCCCGGTCCGGGAGGATCCCACGTGCCGTGGAGCGGCTGGGCCCGTGAGCCATGGCCGCTGGGCCTGCGCGTCCGGCGCCTGTGCTCCGCAACGGGAGAGACCACAACAGTGAGGGGCCCGCGTACCTCAAAAAAAAAAAAAAAAAGTACAACGTGAGAGCTGCAAGTTAAGTTTTATTTGGGGCAAAATGAGGACTGCAACCCAGGAGACAGCATTTCAGATAGCTCTGAGAAACTGTTCCGAGGAGGTGAGTGGAGCTAGAATACATAGGAGTTTTGCAACAAGGGGCAGGTAGTCGGGAACATCAAAAGATTACTGTTAATTGGGAAACCAGATATGTCAAGTTAAGGAATTTAGAGCTTTTCTATATATGGGAAGATGCAAGAGCCTGGGCTCACTGAAATCATTCCTTTGATATGCACCTCAGCTATCTGGGGCCAGTATCCTGTATTTTCACATCCTGGGTTTCCTCACGGTGCACCATGGGGAGTGGCTGCAGTCTGATGGCTGCTAGATGGCAGGTATTCTTTCCTTCCTGAGTTCCCTCAGGGCTCACCAGCTCTGTTGCAATCGCTGGTGGTTGTGACATCCTTTGTTTACTGATATGGCAGGAAATATTCCATTTCTCACAACCACTAATCTTTTTACTGTCTGAATAGTTTTGCCTTTTCCACAATGTCATATAGTTGGAATCATAGTAAATGTAGCTTCTTCAGACTGGCTTCTTTCAGTCAGGTTCCCTCCTGAATGTCTTTTCATGGTTTGATAGTTCATTTCATTTTACTGCTGCATAATATTCCATCAGGTAGGTAAAAATGAAAATGATTTACCCTGTACAGATGATGGGGAGGGGGTCAGTAGAAAAGGGTGACAAGGGCCTTCCTGACACCATTCCAGAGAACGTAAGTCAGTACTCCATTTGGCAATTCCATATTTAAAACATGGATGCCCTTTGATCCATCAGTTCTACTTCTAGTACTGTTTACCATAGACACACAAACTCAGTCACGTCCTGGGGCCTCTCCCATCCCATGTGCTTGGATTCCCAGGACTGATTCTTTTATTTTGCCAAGGAACCTTGATTCCAAAGAGACCAATCCCTCAGTCTCTCTCTGCCTCTTCATCCTATGCTCAATTAACTCCTACCTATTTTTAAAAATATTTATTTATTTATTTAGGCTGTGCCGGGTCTTAGTTGTGGCACACAGGATCTTTAATTGTGGCATGCGGACTTCTTAGTTACGGTATGCATGTGGGATCTAGTTACCCGACCAGGGATTGAATCCGGACACCCTGCATTGGAAGCACGGAGTCTTACCCACTGGACCACCAGGGAAGTCCCTATCTATTCAAACCAAAGGTTTCCTTTTCGAAAATGTTTTCCTGGCTCTCCATACTAAAGTAGGTCACCCTCTACCCATTCTTATTTATTCTTAGAGCACAAGTGACACTTATGCATATTTATCTGTAGGACTATTTATTTAACATCTGCACTCCCCACAAGAGCAAGGGCTGTGACTATGTCCCCAGGGCTTAGCCCTGGACTGACTCATTGAAACACTGGACTGGCACTGCCTATCTTTGTCCTGAAACCTGATGTGGGTTCACCGAGAGGCTTGCTCGGAACCTCCTGCGCCCTGTAGCTCATGCAGAGGCTTGCCCAGAGGGCCCCATGTGCAGGGAGCCACATCCAAGAGCCAGTCATCGCTATCATGGAAGCTTGGGAGACAGGTGAGAACGGATGAGTCACATAACAAAGGCCGTTAATTGTGTCATCGGTGACCCAAGCAGGGGCAAATGAAACTTGTGGGATGCTACTATCAGGCTGGGCTCTAAGCCCCACCCCAAATGCCTTCCTGAACCCCACTAGGGATCAGTGTCTCCCTGTTCTTAACCTCTGGCTCCATGAACCTCTTGCTCAACCTTCTTTGCCTGAACATACCACATTGCTGGAGACTTCCTAGCCGACTCCTCCACTTAACAATGCGTTCCTTCCAGGCAGGGCCAGCAGGCTGCTTTTATCCCCAGTGGCCCCACTGTCCCAGCCAACTGCCCACCATTCATCATTCTGGTCCTTGAGATGTCTGCAGACAAATGCCAGGATGGTGGTGATCATTTTGTAACATATAGAAACATCAAGTAACTATGTTGTGCACCTGGAACTAATGCAGTACTGTAGGTCAATTATATAATTAAAAGTATAATAAAAGTTTGGAGAGAAGATGAGGTGAGATGGAGGTATTAAATCTTCATCTCTTATAACAGTTATAAACTTAAATTTTTTTTTTTTTTTGCCGGACGCGGGCCTCTCACTGTTGTGGCCTCTCCCGTTGCAGAGCACAGGCTCCGGATGTGTAGGCTCAGTGGCCATGGCTTACAGGCCCAGCCGCTCCGCGGCACGTGGGATCCTCCCGGACCAGGGCACGAACCCGCGTCCCCTGCAACGGCAGGCGGACTCTCAACCACTGTGCCACCAGGGAAGCCCTAAAAAATTTTTAATTGTGTTTTTCTTTTCTTTTTATTGTACCTAAATGAGATGACTGATGTTAACTAAACCTAGTGTTGTAATCATTTCACAATACATGTAAATCAAACCATCATGTTGTACACCTTAAACTTATACAGTGATGTATGTTAATTCTTTCTCAATAAAACTGGAAACAAACAAACAAAATGCCAGGACCACTCCGTGACCCAGAGACCCACGTCTCTGGGTAATGATCTGGCTTTCCAAGCCTGTGATGGAGTCCTCTGCTGCATCCCCAGTTCAGTTTCCTTGTTAGAACCATAAGTATTGAAGTCAAAGATATGAGTTTGAGTTCCAGCCCATATGTTAAGCTATGTGACCTTAGTTTTTCTAAGCCGAAGTCTCCATTAATAAATTGTGGGTTTTAAATACCTTCTCCATGCTACTGTGAGCAGGGGCAGATGGGGGCTTTATGGGGCCTGAAGTTTCTACAGCTTGACGGATCCCCAACTGAGGCATCCTGAAGCTTCAGCTTCAAGGTCAGTATACCTCTGCTCCCTGCAAGAAAAGAAATGAAAAGTGCCAGATTGCCCTCGACCTGCTGCTTTGCAGCGAGGATGTGGGTCTACGATCCAGGTCTCACCAATCCAAGGCCACACCCAGGCTGAGAATCAGAAGCCAGACCTCCAGGATCCCTTCCAGTGACTGATGGCAATGATGGGGGCAGCTCCCTCACTTCCAGAGGTAATGGGCACAGGAGTTCTGGTGGCAACTGTCAGTCCCCAGACCAACTCTGTATCCCAGTGTGATTTGGGGTATTCTATTTGTGTGGACTCAAATCTGCTTCCCTGTCCTTCCTAGAGGTGCTGTGACCTTTTTTCCCCCTTTCTTTTAAACATTTTTTAAGCATGGCTGGCTTTCATTTCCTGAGCTCAGGACTAGCCCTCTACACATCCGGCATCCCCCTACCCACCCCTCCTTTTTTTAAATCCAGCATCCATTTAATAAGACGCTTTGCCACTAGAGCCAGGTGTTGTGGCTCGCAGCTAGGAATCGTACTTTGCTCTTCTCCAGGGCCTGGCACATAAGGACCACAGGAAGGCAACCCCTCCAGAGCCTTTTTTCTTCCAAGCTCCTGGCAAGCTTTATCTAGTTACATTCACCCCGTGACTTGCCCTCCAGGCACTGATCTTGCTGCCAACCTTTTGCTCTGCCACACGCTCTGCCTGGCTTGCTGCCCTGGCCTGCCCAGCCTTCTCTCTCTCCACTTCTCCCCCTCACTGCCTCCCTCCAGGCTTATCTAGGAGGCTCCCTAGATTCTGCACCCTGGACCCAGAGCTCACCACTTCCCACATCTCACCTCGCAGCTGCGGCCCTAGCCATGGCTGCTGGCTGATCCCTTGAGCAAATACGATGGGAACACCTGACCCTTCTTCGTCCAGGAGACAGGCCTCTGCAAGCCTGACTCACCCTCTCCTCCCCACTGCGGGCCCGGAGCAAACCCCCCCTCCTCCCTTCATCCTCCTTCTCATCGTGTGGCCTTGGACAAGTCCCTTCGCTTTTGCGTTTTGCTTGTCAAACTTTACAGGCTGTAAACTCTAATCTGTATCATACAGGTGAATTATGTTTATTTCTGTGGGTAGGATCTTTCCTGTCAGGACAAATCAAAGTTCACCTTCCCTGGGCAGGTGATGGGGGCATGTGGGCTCCCAGGAGATTGGGGTAGAGAGAGACTAAGGGGAGACCACAAGATAGAGGCACCTTGGCTGATTTCTTACTGAAGATACAGGTGAATATAAAAGCACTGGCTTTGGTGGTGTGTGGTGCCAGAGGCACGGGGTGTTATAGGGGGAGATGTACCGACTTCAGGGACCAGCTCACCACAGCGTCCCTCCACTCCCAGGCAGGGCCGGGACAGCCTTCTCAGCTGCAGGATGAGGCATCCCAACAGAGACTTAAGGGGAAAGAAAGTGCTGGAGTAGGAGCCAAGTCATCTGAACTTATTCCCTGCGCCCAGAGGAAGTGGGGGCACGAGTCTGCTTTCCATGAAGAGTGTGTGTGGCGGGAATCTAGCTCCTAAAGAGGATTCAAAGGAAAAACAAGAAGTGGGGAGAAAGAAACATAGTCTGCGGACCCGGTCCTTTCCTACTACGTGGGGGACCTCCCAAACTCCCGGCCTCGTGCGCCCCAGCTCCTTCCCCACCACGCGTGAGTCTCCTGGCAACCGCCAGCCACAGCTGGGGGCCTCTGCTACGGCCCGGAGTGCTGGGCAGTGGACGATGCCCAGCTAAAGCTGCTCGGGCCGCGCGGCAGCATGAGGTCCAGGGCGAGGTCGCGCTGCTCGTCCTCAGAGAACACTGGCCGGTAGCCCAGCAGCTGCAGTGCGCCCGCACACAGCTCCTGCACGCGGCGGATCTTGGCAAAGGGCAGCGTGTGGCGCCACGCCTGCGAGACGTTGAGCGCGTCCCTGGACGTAGTCTTGAAGGCCTCACGGCGGGCACCTGGCCCGACCCCGTGGGTGATGTTGTGGATCCAGGCCTCAAGCTGCGGCGTGAGGCTCAGGCCTGCGAAGGCGTAGAGCGCGCGGATCTCGGGCAGAGGCGCCCGTGCCAGGTCCTCGAAGCGCACCAGGCGGTAGCGGCCGCGCAGGGAGGGCGGTGGCTTGCGCATGGCGGCCTCGGCGATGCGCACGTGGCTGCGGCACACCTCGCGCACCACACGCAGGTCCGGGTCGGCCTCCACCCACTTGCCGTTGGTGCCCAACACGATGCCGTTGTCACGGGCCAGTGCCTTGGCCGTCTGCTCGCGCGAGCGCAGCACAGCCCGCGGGTCGCGCACCAGGTGCACGATGCGCAGGTTGAGCGCCGGGTCGCTGAGCAGTGGGTAGAGCACCTGCAGGTTGAAGAAGCGCACCTCCTTGAGCACCACGTGGCTGTAGGTGCGGCAGGCCTCCTGGGCCAGGCCGAAGGGCCGTCGTGCGCACAGCGGCTTGCACACTGCTTCGCTGCTGATGGCGCCGCGCGGGAAGGCGCTGCAGGCGGGCGGCGAGCACAGCGCGCGGCTCTCCGCCCACTGGAAGAGGTCCGACAGGTTGCGCCGCCACGGCAGGTAGGCGTCGAACACGTCCATGTCGCACAGGAAGACGGAGCGCACCAGATCGCGCACCGCCATGTGTAGCGCCACCGCGCTGCCCTGCGACAAAGCGGCCCACACGTGCCACGCAGGCTCCATCAGGTAGAAGACATTGGGGTGCTGGCTGAAGAGCTGGCCCACGAAGGACGAGCCCGAGCGCCACGAGGACAGCACCAGCACATGCACCCTCTCCTCGCCACCCACCGGGGACGGCGGCCTGGGCCGGGAGACTAGGAAGAGCAGGAGGCCAGTCTGCGCCAGCAGGAGCGCGGTCACCGCGGTGCTGGAGATGCGCCGCAGCCACATGCCGCCGGCCGGGGGCCTGCGGAGGGAGAGTGCAGCCGTCAGGGACCGCGACCCGCTCACCCATCCCACACCCCAACTCCTGTCTGGTGCTGCCAGGGAGCAGCCCCGGGACTTGACCACCCCACCTGTGGAGGCCTCCCAAGGCCACGGCCATCTCAGTTGGGCGCCCTTCCGGGAATGTGACTTTAAGACATGAGCCATGATCCAGCCTTTACAGAGCTAAAGGCCAGTTGCACAATACTATGGGGCAGTGTTTTTTCCCTTTTCTCTCTTTCTCTCCCCACGCTCTCTTTTCTTTCTATCCAGAGGGGGAAATATATTTAAAACAGAATTCCTGCTTTTCACTTAAAATTCCTTTTAGGGGAAAAGTTGTAGGTAGTTTAGCTAAATAGCTTGATGGGTGATTTGGCAGAACCCTCCCTGGCTCCGCCACTTCCTAGCCTATGATCTTGGACCAAACGCTTCATCTCTCTGTGACTCAGTTTACCCATCTGTAAAGGGGCATTTACATAATGAGGAGGGGTGGGGCATTTCTCATAACTGAAAACTTGCACTTTCTACGTAGTGTGCTTCTGCATTGTTTGACTTTTTAAACAAGCAGATACAACTTTTGTTATTAAAAATAAACATATAGACAAAGAACAGCAACTGTTGCTCTCACCCATGGAGAGTGAAGTGCTGCAGGATTCCCAAGGGAGGATATCCTTCTGGATTCGTGTAATTTTGCAGAAGAAACGAGTTAAGGGAGAGGTAGGATGGAGACAGAGAAAGGGAGAGATGAGGGCAGAGTCAGACCCCTTTCCATGCTGAGGTTACTCACTGCTGTCCAGGGCTGCTGGGAGAGCTGCCCACCTCGGTCACAGATCCATGGGAGATGCCTGGAGGTTTTTCAGGGCCTGGGAAAGCAGGAGGGAAGCTGGGTCAGAGTCCCACAGGAGGAGATGGCCCTGCACACTGGGAGGGCTCTGCCTTCCCAGACTGACAGAAAGTTCCCCACGGGTGGGAGTGTAGCTGTCCTGCCCCTGGCTGGAGCTGGGCCCAGACCAGCAGGCAGCTGGATACATTTTTCCAGATGGGAGTGAAATAACCGTCTCTCCTGCTGGGTTTGAGTTCCTCTGATGCCACTCAGAAGCTGTGAACCCTGGGGCAAATGACTTAACTACTCCAAGACTCAATATCTTCCTCTGTAAAATGAGGATGATAACATTTGACCTTAGCGTTCTTGTGAGAGATGCTGCTACAAAGACATACGAGGAAAGGGCTTGGTAAAGTGCCATGCACGCCCCGTGTTACTGTTGTAGCGTTCAGCTGTGTCTGGAGAGGAGGAACCATGGGAAGTCCCCACCCAGATAAGACCCCTGAGGTCACCTACGCTTGGAATCCCAGCTTCTCCCAGGCCCCCTGTAGCCCCCAACCACCCCTGAGTCCTTCAGTGGATCTTAAGAATGTCACCCTCCCGGCGGGGGGGGGGTAGGGATAAATTGGGAGATTGGGATTGACATATACACACTATATACAAAGTAGATAACTAGGGCTTCCCTGGTGGTGCAGTGGTTGAGAGTCCGCCTGCCAACGCAGGGGACACGGGTTCGTGCCCTGGTCTGGGAAGATCCCACATGCCGCGGAGTGGCTGGGCCCGTGAGCCATGGCCGCTGAGCCTGCGCGTCCGGAGCCTGTGCTCCACAACGGGAGAGGCCACAGCGGTGAGAGGCCCGCGTACCGCAAAAAAAAAAAAAAAAAGTAGATAACTAACAAGGACCTACTGTATAGCACAGGGAACTCTACTCAATATTCTGTAGTGACCTATATGGAAATCGAATCTAAAAAAGAGTGGATATATGTATACGTATAACTGATTCACTTTGCTGTACAGCAGAAACTAACACAACATTGTAAATCAACTATACTCCAATAAAAATTAATTTAAAAAGAAAGTGTGGAACGAAACTGAGTTATTTGTAGTGAGGTGGAAGGACCTAGAGACTGTCATACAGAGTGAAGTAAGTCAGAAAGAGAAAAACAAATACCATATGCTAACACATACATATGGAATCTAAAAAAAAGAAAATGGTCAGAAGAACCTAGGGGCAGGACAGGAATAAAGACGCAGACGAGAGAATGGACTTGAGGACACGGAGAGGGGGAAGGTAAGCTGGGATGAAGTGAGAGAGTGGCACGGACATATATACACTACCAAACGTAAAATAGATAGCTAGTGGGAAGCAGCCGCATAGCACAGGGAATCAGCTAGGTGGTTTGTGACCACCTAGAGGGGAGGGATAGGGAGGGTGGGAGGGAGACGCAAGAGGGAAGAGATATGGGGATATATGTATATGTATAACTGATTCACTTTGTTATAAAGCAGAAACTGACATGCCATTGTAAAGCAATTATACTCTAATAAAGATGTTAAAATAAATAAAAATAAAAAAAAGTGTCCCACAGAGTGTCCTACAGAGTGAAAGGAACACTGAGCCCAGCTCCCACACCCCGAGGCCCCAGAGTTTTCTCTTCTTTGCACTGCTGCTCCTGCAATGATCTCAAGGATGAGCCAATCTGGAAGGAAAGGACCTGGAAGTTTCTTTCCTCTTTCCTTTTGCTCCCCACCAAGCCACCTTCACTGTCCACCTCACCACTGAGGGAAGCTGGCATCTAAACCGTGAGCAGAGCCCATATCTACCTCTTCCCCTTATCAGGAGGCTGCAGGATCGGGTGGAGGATGCCCAACAGCTCTGTCACCTGCTGAGTCCAGAACTGCCTCCTGGATACCTCGCCCACTCTGGATCACATTGAAGACGAGGACAGCAGCCACCCACCTGCTCTGCACACGTCACCTCCTCTCCTCGAGGGTGTGCTTCCTGAGAACAGGGTGCAGGAGAGGGAGGAAACTCGAACACATATTTGCTGATATAAATTACCTCAAGTGCTGGGTGATTTAACTCAACGGCCCCTGAGGTGGGCACTATGATCTCAGTTTTTTAGACGAAGGGCCCAAGGCTTGGAGAGACAGCAGGGAAGCTGGGACCCCAACCCAGGACTTCTAAGTTCCTGGCACTTTCTGTCATAGACTGCTGGCCTCTCCCATCCCTGGGAGATCCCTGCAGAACACAGGACCCTGATTCCTGGGCCCAAACACAGCTGCCCAAGTCAGCCCTGCCCTCCCCTGGGTAAGGAGGATCTTGATCCCAGGCCAAGGTGCTTGTTACATGCACTCCAGGGATGCCAGGGGTCTTCTTAAGTGACTCACACAATACGGGAACTGTTATCTGATCCTGTGATTGGAACTCAAGAACTAGAAAAGGGATGGAAACATCCTACCCACGCAGAGTGTCCAGAGAAGTCCAGGTCTCAGCTGGGAGTTTTCTGAGAACGTACCTTATATTCAGCGCACCCACCAACTGCCCCAGGGTTCAAGTTACAAAGAACATGTCAGGCAGGCACTGTGATGGGTACTTCATCTTCATGATTGAATTTTCTTCTCCCCAAATCCCTAGGAGGTAGAAACTATCCCTGTCTGTTTTAGTTGAGGTAGTGGGGCTCAGAGACATGAATATACAGCTGGTAATGGGCAGGGCAGGGGTTTAAATCCAAGTGCCAGACCCCCAGCGTGGGGCTCTGGGTGGCCCCTCTCCTAAGCCTTTGCTCAATGAAGTCCCCCATCCTGGAAGGGCCATCTGCCTCTGATATGAATTCTTTTCTTTTTAATTTTTTGTGGGTCTATATTAATTATATGTCTAATTTTTGGAAAAGGTGATACAGAGAGGCGGCATAAAATTTGAAAGGTACAGGTGAGGGAGTCGTGGGCTCAGGTTTTATTTGTCAAAATTAGAAAAGGGGCCCCATCCTCCGGCAGACACAGCCCCACATCAGAGAGCAAAGGGCCATTCAGTCAACAGGAAGTGATGTTCTCTGTCCCCTTTGCCTCCCCCCAAGCCCACCTCAGAGGCAGCCCTGTCTCCAATTTCCGCAAAGTCTTTGACGGTGATGATGATGATGTTTAAATTAATTATATATTTCAAGGGAGACGGGTAGGAGTAAAGTGCAAGAGGCCACTGAAGGAATATAAAATTCCTCTTCCTACCCTGATAACCAGGACCACCTTACAGAGTTGTCTTTCTCAAGTCACTGAAGATTTTTTGTCATAAAGCATTTTTAAAATTTACTTTTGTCAAAATAATACACAGAGCTTGAATAAGCATTAGGTATCCCTGGAAGTTTATACAAGACAGTGACCATATTAGCTTCCCCTGGGAGGGGAGTGAAATAGCTGGGAAAAGATATTTCACAATAAATCCCTTTTTTTTTTTTTTTTTCAGCCAGCTGCTTGGCATGCAGTTAGTTCCCCAACCCGGGATCGAACCCATGCCCCTTGCAGTGGAAGCGTGGGGTCTTAACCACTGGACCGCCAGGGAAGTCCCCACATTTGATCATGCCATTCTCCGACTCAGCAACCTTCAGCTATCCAACTTCACTTCCCATTATTCCCAGCCAGCATCTTATATTTCAGATAATCTGGAATCACTACTGTTCCTCCAGCAAGCTCCATGCTCTCCTACCCCTCCACTGTGAGTACCCAGCCCTGAGTCCCACCAGAAGTCATCTCAGCATCTCTGAAGACACCTCATCCCTGCCTCTCTCCAGGCACACACCGTTCTGCCCTGTGTGACACTTTGCCTCTCCTTCTTGCCTGTGAGCAACTTGAGGGCTGGGATGGTGGGTTTTTGCAAGGGAGCATCTGTTCTCAGGTACCTAGCGTGGGCTCGGTACTGCACAGGTGCATTGGACAGGGCTGTCTGTGTTCATTCAGAACCTATTTCCCCTTCTTTTGGTAACAGTCTCTAGATTTTTCTTTGAGGAACCACCCCTCACCCACATAAAGCACATGTGGTTTGGGTAGGGCTGACCCACCACCCCCTGGTTCTTAGCGAGTCCTGTGTCTCAAGCCTGGTTCATCTGTATATTCCACACACTATCTCCCTGCCACAGCGACTGGCTTAGGAACGGACATCAGCCCCAAGTCTAATCCCAGGATTTTTGCAGATCTGAAGGGAAGAGAGAAATTGCCTAGGTATAAAGCCAATATAGGAGAGAAATGAGCAGAGAAAAGAAAGACTGGGAGCCCATGAGCAAGTTGACGGCACCAGATCCAGCTGTGCCAAGATTCACCCATGTACTTTTCAGTTGGGGAAAATACTCCATTTTTGCTTAAGCCAGCATGAGTTGAGTTTCTGTCACTTACAACCAAGAGTTCTGATTAGATAGTGGATCCCCTTGGTGGGATGGGTTGAGGGTAGAACTGTAAGGGAGCATGGGCAGAGAGAGCTTCTAGGGGCTGGTTATGCCCTGTTTCTTGATGGAGGTACTAAGTACATGAGCATGTTCAACTTGTGAAAAGTCACTTTTATGTGAACTGTGCTCTTTTCTGCATGTATATTTCAATAAAAAGTTAAGAAACCTCTAACACCATATACAAAAATAAACTCAAAATGGATTAAAGACCTAAATGTCACACTGAATACTATAAAACTCCTAGAAAAGGACTTCCCTGGTGGCACAGTGGTTAAGAATTCTCCTGCCAATGCAGGGGACACGGGTTTGATACCTGGTTCGGGAAGATCCCACATGCCGCGGAGCGACTAAGTCCGTGCGCCACAACTACTGAGCCTGCACTCTGGAGCCCACGAGCCACAACTACTGAAGCCTGTGTGCCCAGAGCCCGTGCTCCACCACAAGAAAGCCATTGCAATGAGAAGCCTGCCCACCACAATGGAGAGTAGCCCCTGCCCGCTGCAACTAGAGAAAGCCTGTGCACAGCAACAAAGACCCAATGCAGCCAAAAAATAAATTATTAAAAAAAAACTCCTAGAAAAATACATATGCAGAACACTCTGATGTA